TGTGTGTGTGTGTGTGTGTGTGTCTGTCTGTGTGTGTGTGTGTGTGTGCGTCTGTGTGTGTGTGTGTTGCCCTTTGCTTTCCTCTAATTATAAGTTAAGCAAGCCATTGTGAGGCCCGGTGGTATTGAATTCATTGATTGCCCTAGCTTACTGAAACCATGGGGAGCATAGGCTTTCTGTTCTTCGGCAGGGTGGAGAACAAATTCCAACAATTCTTTGGAGAAGAGGCCACTGGTGAAGCCAGGTTATTTGTTGGATGTCAAGTGTCCACAATGCTTTGGGGAACATATTCAAACAATTCTCTGGAGAAGAGGCCACTAGTGAAGCCGCTTCTTTTAAACGGAGTCATAGTGTATTATGCTATGCGTACAGTACAATACACGCACAGAGGGCTGTGACCCTGGCAGCATCAGGACCTCCTGCAGGGATCCAGGGGTCCCAGGGTGGGCACCTCCACCTCCAGGGGTCAACCCCCCCAAATGACGGAAAACAAAAAAAAACGGGCGGGGGGGGAAGCCCAGGGTGTGCAGCAACAGCCACCTGGCCTTGGCTTTTTTCCATCTTCGTGTTTTGTGCTGGGTCCTCACCCCCTCCAGGGCAATTTCTTGTGTGCATCTACCAAGAGCCCAACTAAAACAGAAAAACGTTTCTAAATTCTAACTTTCTGCGCATTTCCTGGCACGGGATTGCAGGAAACCTATAAAAAAAAAAAAAAAGATTTTCGCCCCACCCCTGTGCGAGTGGGCAGGAGATTTTCATGTGGGTGCTGCTGCCGTCGTCATCTGCGCAGTGTGTCTGTGTGTGGAGAGAGAGAGAGAGAGAGAGAGAGAGAGAGAGAGAGAGAGAGAGAGAGAGAGAGAGAGAGAATCTTTTCTTTTTCTTTTTCTTTTTTTTTGGTATCTGGACCAATTGGGCCCAAACAGGACATTGTTGGGAAGGTCCGCCTTGATCCAGATATACGGATGCTTGGATACCGGTGGATGGGTCCAGATTAGGCCAGGGTCCTGGTCCACAGTAAGTAACCATGGTTTATTGTCTGTTTGTTTCTTTGGTAGCTCGCTTGTTTGTTTGCTTGTTTCAATTTGATCTGCTGGGGGAGAAGGAACCAGACATCCAGTGCCGTATACCTCTTAGAATAGTCCAGGCTCTTCCAAAACGGGGAAGTGGGGAAAAATAAATCAAGAAATGTGGTGAAGATTCAAGAATAAAAATACTACTCCCAGCAAAACTGTGGTCAGCAACTCATCGCTCTCTCCTCGTGGATCAATATAGCGGATTCCTTACTCCATTACAGAACAGGTGAGCCGGGAAGCGAAGGTCGGAAGTGGAGGTCCGAAGGGGACGCAAGGAAAGGGAAAAAAGAGGGTCTTTCACTCCTATGGACACCGATTAGAATCTTTCAGTCCTAACTACAGTAGTAAAACTCATTGTAGACCCCCCCCATCTTGTTAGTCGTTGTTACAGTTTTACTATTCCCATCCCCTTCGGTATTTACTATTCACTGTATTCAGTCTTCAGAACTTTTGAATCTATAAGACTGAATACCAAAGGGGATGGGAACAGTACAACAGTAACAAATACTAACCGCCGTAACGGGCGAATAATATTTTAGAAAACTTGTTGCAAATAATACGAATGACCTATCTTGCATATGAATATAATCCTTGGATTCCTTGCTAAACTTAGTAAATTCCTTTTTCTTTGTTTTTTTCAAAGAAACACACACTTGTAATAACCCATGTAGTAAGCCTCGTGGCTTCATGCTGGCGCGATGCTGGCTATGCGCTGGCAGTGCACAGGCCTTGCGGACGACTGCACTAGGAGGCAGCATGCTGGCGCTTCTGCACTGTTGCACCAGCCTTGCTGAGGTGGCATGCTGATGAGGCGCTATCTTTGGTCTACATTGCATGCTGATGAGGCGCTACCTATGGTCTACATTGCATGCTGATGCGGCGCTACCTATGGTCGACATTGCATCCTGAGGAGGCACTACCTATGGTCTACATTCTGATGCGGTGCTGCCTATGGTCTGCAATGATGTGGCGCTACCTCTGGTATTGCATGCTGACATGGCGCTGCCTTTGGTTACATTGCATGCTGATGTGGTGCTGCCTCTGGTCTTCATTGATGATGTGGCACTGTCCACGCTGACTACATGAGGTGACTGGTTGAGGGAGATCGGGATCTGTGGATGAAGGAGGTCGGATACTCACCTGAGGTTGACATCGTCACTGGAATCTGCTATGTCTTCACGGTCTTCATGAGATTAAGTGCCACGTGGCACTAATGTGTGTGATCAGGATTATACGTATTATCATTATTGACATGAAGAGGGAGAAGCCCGGAGAAGGAGAGGGATCTGAAGGGATTTTTATGTGATCTTTCATCTTCTCCTTCGTCTGTTCCCCCTCCATTCTCTTCTTGTGATGATAATGAGTTGCTGTTCGAGATATCACTTCACGATTTGGAGACTTTCGTGCAGATAATGAGACTACTGAGGTTTGACGACTTCTGAGTATCTGTTAAGACTGGGTTCATTACACAC